ATGCAACCTACGGGAACCCGTGGCGCCGCTCCCCGCGGGCGCCCAAAGGACGCCCCGGAGCGTTGCTCTAGCGGAGCCCCCGCCCCGCGCCCAAGCGAAAATTAACGGTGCTTTTATGAATGGGGAAGCGCGACCTGGGTTGGGCAACGCCTGGCCGACCCAGTCACTTGACCGCGGGGTGACGACTGGTCCGTCGCCGGGGCCTGGGGCCAAGGGCAGGGTTGCCAATGTCATTCCTTCGTCCTCCCAGGCGGCTGGCTTTTTTTTTTTTTAATGCAAAAAAGGTCCTTTGGGCCTCCGCGCGATGCCAACGTCTACCATTTTGGCAAAGTAGGCGCGCGCCTTGCGGCGGGCCGCCTCCCCTTGTGATAGGAACCGTTGTTAAAATGGAGTTCCGCTGGGAGCGGACCGAGGGCGCTGGACTCCTAAGTGGGTGCATCGTGTGGTTTGTCAATAAGCGCTGAACGTAAACTGTTAGAAGGCGCCCTGGTGGCGCTGGGGTGTTTGCCCTGGGGAGAAAACTGCGGCCATCAAGCTTGGCAGCCTCGGACACCCTAGGGGGGCAGGGGGGTGGGGGGCGGACAGGAGGGTACCGATGGCTGATGGCCGTGGGTCTGGGTTCATAACGTGTGAAGGGGTGAGCACTCCCCAGGGGTGGTCAGCGTGCCAAGGTTGAAATCCAGAAACCGGTCATTCACATAAGAAAGAGCCCAGATTCGGTCCAGAGGCAAAAGGCACCCGGCGCACGGGCGCAGAATGCTAAGTTCAGTGCGTACCAGCGCCAGCACACAGCCGAAGGCGCACCTTCCCCGGGATCAATTTACAGCCTGCCACCTCCTCCCCGCCCCGAGGGGAGTCCACGTCGTGGTCAGTGTAGACGCTCCACAGTGGAGCATTTCGGCACGGGGGGTCGCGCTCCATCATTCGGAGCAGTGGGGGCGGGGGCGGGGGTGGGGGGTGTTCTCGCTGGCATGAAAACAGCCAGTGGCAAGTTCAGCCATTTTTTATTTGGTTTGTGGGCTGAGCAGGAAATACACACGCTGGAATATCTGGATTGACCAGAAACGGACGCCTGTGGAAGAAAATAGTGAAATCAAATACGCTTCTCAAAGGGCTACGTTGGAGGTTCGCTTTGCTCAGGAACTTACAAGGTGCTCGGTGTCCTGTTAAAATCTACTCCTGGCTCTGTGACTACAAGGAGCGGAAAGCCTTGACCGAGCTGGGAAGATTATGTTGGTCCGGTTACCTGGTGACTGACCCCTTAGGATGCTTAACTCTAAGCGAGTTATGAACCGAAAGCTATGCCCTCGTCCGGTTTCCGCGGTCCCTGAACGAGGCAAACAAACTGTTCACAGGACAAAGACCCTGAGCCTCCGGCCTTTCTGAGCCCAAAGGACAGAAAGCCAGCGCTCCACCGGCCTACGTTTCCATTGGCGTCCCAGGACCCAGCGGCTGGCCGCTCGGCGGCCGTGAACCTGTCGGACATCAGAGGCCGCACTGTCAACTTCACGGCCAGCAAGTGGCCCGGGACCTGGTCACGTGACGCTCCCTCCCTCGGGCAGGCCCTGAGTGCCCACCTGCCCTGACCAGGGCTGCATCGGAGGAGGGCGCTCGCCGGCAGGGACGCGGTCCTCCGCCGCTGCCCCTCTCGGGCCGGGCGCTCGGACGCGCCGGGGATGCCCGCGCCAAGGGCGTGTCCCTACGGCTGCACTGCGGGGGCGGCGCGCGGAGGGGGCCGGCGGCCCCCAGCTAAGTCTCAGGCCCAGCATCCCTTCCGCTGTGCAGAGAACCGCCCGCCGTCGGCCCGACCCCGGGCGGACCCCTGACCCATTCCTCTTCGGAGAGAGGTGGGGTGCGCTAAGGGCGC